AAAAGACCTGAGTGGGTTAAGTGAGAATGAATAGCATTAATAATTCCCAATGTGTAAAACTGGAATAATAACCATTCTACCCAACCTGGAGGATAGGAATAGATTATGAAAAGTATAGAATATGAGAAGCTAATTTAAAGGAAAGATGATTGAGGCAGATGATACTATACCATGAAAGGATTTGAATGCACTTGAGGGGAAGATAGAATCCTTGAAATATTCCAATAAGAATGTTGATATAACTGTACTTAGAGTTCAGAGTGATCCCTCTAGCAACTTTGTAGAAATTAGTTTAGAAAGGTAGTCCACAGGAAGTCCAAGCCATTTTGGTATAAGTAGGTAGATGAAGAGTTCAGGTTGCCAGCAATGTGTACAACATGCTATATTCAACATACTCAAACCACAAAAAGACCAAGTTCAAAACAGAACTGTTCCTCCCTGACTGCTATATCAGCTGAGGTAATAAAGAATATGCTCTAAACTTGGTAAGACATGAAAATTATAATTTCCAGTAAAAGTCATATATCGGTTAGTTCCTGAAAGTCAAAGACAATTTTATTATAAAATTTACCTTCTCATACCTTTGAAATTTGTACTCTTTGTCGAGGATCATGAATTCCTGTCTTTTCCTGGAACTTTTCTCTCTAACATAAACACTAAACTCCACACTAAAATGTGCCATGATAACTTGTACAAGTTATATCAAATATATATATTTTCTAAGATAAAAAAATTCTTTTTAAATTAATTTTATTTAAATTAAAAACTATCTTATTTTACATATAAATCCCAGATCCCTCTCCCTCCAGTCCTCCTATTCCCCACACCAACCCCCCATCCACTTCTCAAGGAGGGTGAGGCCTCCCATGTGGGATCATCAAACTCTGTCACATCATTTGGGGCAGGGCCTAGGCCCTCCCCTGTGTATCTAGGCTGAGGGAATATCCCTCCATAGGGAATGGGCTCCCAAAGCCCACTTGTGCACTAGGGATAGATACTGGTTCCACTGCCAGAGGCCCCATAGACTGCCCATAGCCCCCAAATGACAGCCACATTCAGGGGGTCTCATTTCAGTCCTATGCTGGTTCCCAGCTGTCAGATTGGAGCCTGTGAACTCCCACTTGCTCAGGTCAGCTGTTTCTGTGGGTTTCCCCAACACGTTCTTGACCCTTTTCCTTATCATTCCTCCCTCTCTGCAACTGGATTCCAGGCTTTCAACTTAATGCTTGGCTGTGAATCTCTGCTTCTGCTTCTATCAGCTCTATGATGGCATTTAAGGTAGTCATCAATCTCATTATAAGGGAATGGCATTTAATGTAGCCTTTCCACTATTGCTTAGATTCTTAGTTGGGGTCATCTTGTGGATTCCTGGAGATTTGCCTAGTGCCAGATTTCTCGTTAAGCCCTTAACAACTCCCTCTATAAACCCCAGCGAAGATAGGAAACAAGGAGGTAGGAAAACCTTTCTTTAAGTCTCATCTTGGAGGTCAATAGATTCCTTTCTCTCAAGGGCCTACTTCAACACTCAGTTTTTTTCTGGCACGAAGCACCTGTACTTTGACTTTCCTCTTCTTCAAACTTTTACTGGTTTACAGGTTTCACCAATAAAATGCACTTTTGCATGGGAAATAGCCTGTATAGTATGCCTTTACATATAATTTAGTCTATTTAGCAAAGGTCTAGACAAGAAGTGGGAACTTTTACAGGCAAGAGTATGTAGTGTACGAATATGTTAGAAAACACTTACAAAAGTTGACTTCTGGTGTTTATCCCAGGAGCCATATTTCACCTTCTACTCCTGAGATAAATAAGGTTAGACTCCTAGAAATCAGGATACCTAAGAAATTCAAAGTCTATAGTTTCAGCTTTCTGTTTCCAACCAGAATCTATATTCTTAAGTAGAATTTGATAATCTGGCACTGCATATCAGGCTTTTGAGTCTGATTCACTAATGCTAAGAACAAGATTTTATACAGGTACCAAAAAACAGCTCCTAACAAGCTACATGAATGCCCTGTTTTCACAAAGAGACAATTCAAGCATACCTATATAATTATGATACGGGTTTTGTCCTTAACTCATAATAAAATATGAAATCCAATCCCCTATGTTTTCTATCAGTTACTCGCTGTTGTTCTTGTGTATACCAATCTTGTAGGAATTTAGACTTTTGTTATCATACTTTCACAGATCATGAAATTAACTTGGAGCAGAATTAAGTTCTTTTTCCCCAAAGTCCAAGAGATATTGCAATTTGATTTGTAATAAGATTCCTCATAAAACTAGAGAAAGATAAAACTCTCCATATCCAAACAAGTTCTTGCGTGGAAAAATATTTTAAGATGACATTCATATGGAATATACTCTCCTTAAAGCTAAAGACATTGCCATTCTTGGATCTAGTTCTAGCAGTTTTAACTATATGTTCTAGGGATATATGGTGTCAGGGCAGTCCCTCCAGGTGTCAGAGTAGTGTCGTATCAGAATCAGAGATCTTTATGAAGTTTTACTTTTGGACTCAATCATAGTAAATTGCAGATAGAAAATTCGAAACATTTTAATTTTAGTTTTGATAAGAGGAGTGCTAAGTTGAGCAAGAGTTGTAGGAGGTGGAAGACTCAGAACAGTAGGCCACAATTTTAAAAATACTTCACTTGGATCACAGAGACTTGTATTCTACTAGCCAAATACAAATTCTCTACATTGCTGTAATAAGCCCCTTTCTTTCTGTCATTTTAATTTTCTTTATTATTAAAACAATACAATTGAACTCACTGACCTTTAACTACTTTCTAGCTCTAAGTTTCCTTGTCTGTATGAGCACTACCTACAACACTACTAGCATTGCCACTGACTGATCCTTATGCAGCCTCTACCCCTGGTGAGCATGTATACTTAGAGCACTATAGATATGTGTATGTGATTCTCAAAAATCATTATTGAATCATATATTACAAATGACTGTACCATACAATGTCATTTAACTGAAAGTTGAGGATACTAGCACTCAAATAAGTAATCCCATTTTCCTGAAGCTATTAAGCTCTGGACTCGGAGTATGGAAAATCAGTTCTAGGATTAAGGAGATAGTTCATTCCCTACATACCTCATCTATGAGTCTTCACCCTCTCAGTTCTCCTCATTTTGAACTCTTGTCATTAAGCAACCAGCACAACTAAACAAACATGCTTGTCAAAATTACTTTTATTTTCCTTGATAGTAGGGGTAACCTGTAGGCTTGTCAACTTCGAGGAAAATAAATTTAAAAAGAGAAAGAACTAGATACAGGTGAAACAACAAAAATCACTGTCCCTCTAATAAAACTGCTATAAGTATAGCTCTCCACATGCTTCTTGGCCATTGCAAACATGATAGATGGAAAGTGCCAGTGCAATGGAATAGATTGCTCTGAGTTGAAGACATGGCTCCTACAACCAACAGCAGCCCTACGTTAATTTTTTAATGTTAAGTGAAGAAAGAAATGGTTTTAAAATCCTGATCTTAATCATAAGTAAACTTTTTGGATAATTTAATTAAAATAAAATGTAGACTTTCCAACCCAACCATTGCCATAGTGTGGTTTCACAGCAAACATTTCTGTGTTCTTTGTTAGAACCATGACACAGGGCTTCATGGGATGCCAACTCACTTATCTCAAACACAGATAACCACCAAGCACCACCCGAGACTTCTCGAAACAGTGCTCTTCACTTGGAGTTCTTTGCTTCCCCACTACTAGGATTTATTAGTCCATACAATTTTAACTGAACAAATGTATCAGTTAGCCCCTAAAAAGAACTGTGTTTGACCAAAGAAGAGACTGTATTCAACAGGAACCATTACAAAAAGCAACTGTTCTAAATCTGTGGCTTCATTATCAGTATAATTTAGACAATTAGCCACCTAACTATATCTGCATATCACCTTGATGTGTACCGTATTTAAATTGCATAAAATCCTTATTTAATAAAAAAGCAATGACTCTCTGCATCTATTAAAACAAGCAAAATAAAAATATCCTCACTTGATAATTCTAAAAATTGAGACTATCACCTCCCCCCCAAAAAAACAATACAGACTGTGTGCTCAGCTGATACCGTAAGTAGCCTAGGTCTGTATTGAAGGACTCCCCAGACAGCTTGTTTTTCACTCACCAGTGCTAGCTGCACTCCTAAGACCAATCACTGAGAAGACAAATGCCCCATGTTTGAACACTGCTAACTAGAAGGACTGAGGTTATTTTCCTCTTAGAGAAACAAGAAATATCTACGAATAAACTCTGAAATAATCTTATACATTATTTTCCAATATGAAAAACAAAAGGGCCATAGTAGAGTTATAATAGTTCTGAAAGCCGCAGTCTTCTGGAGGAGAAAGAACATGAGTTTTAAGACTCAGTTCCTAGATATAATTCTGTCACCTAAACGAATAAGTGATTTCATCTCACTGACTCTCAGATAATCCAACTGTTTTGTCATGAATTTTTATCTGGATAGCCTTTTTAGTTCTGAAATACATCATTTGGTATTCTTTTATCCTAGAGGAAAATACTATTTGTCTCCGTATCTATGCAAGCTAAACTCACCATTAGGAGTTCCTATGTAACTAGATAAATTATAAACAGCAGAAGTACATATCCTATATTTTGGGCTAAGTATGTCAAATTGTCAAAAATGAGACTAAATGCAGCACTGCACTCACCTTTTGTGTCATGCACCAATTCTTGTCCACTCTACAAAAAGTTCCTTTAGCAACCAGGGGGTTATATCATATACGACAATAATGCCGCTGTAACAATGAAGGCTGACAGCTTCACTTTAAACTCTGACTAGACTCAAAAGCAATAACATTTGTCTCTCCTGTAAGAATCCTGAGATGAGAAACCAGAGACCATTTCATTCAAGATCCAAGATTCACATCTGTCCCTGTCCTGATCATCCTGTTTGCACCAATCCCCTCAAATGGAGCCACAAAGTTACAGGTGTTCGTCTAAAACTTACCCTGATGCTGAGCCGGGATAAGCACTCTTGTATCTTTGCAAGGAGATGGGAGTAAAAAAGTACGACTCTGGGCAGCACGTACATATCCTGCTGATAACTGAAAAAATTAGTGTTGAAAGAGGAAGTTGAGCACATTGATGTCTCACCACAGAAACCTTACTTGCACAGAACGAAGGTAAGTCCCTTGAGCAGATGACGCTAGTCAAGTTTGATTTCTTCTTTATTTCATTGGTGTTAAACAAACAACAAATACATCCTTGCTTCTTAACTGTTAACCATCTTATTTCCTTCCACCACAAGCCAGATGTTTTTCTTACTATATTCCAGTAGGTTTTGTGTCAAGACAAGATTTCTAAGCCAAATATGAAGAAAGTTTACCTAAGAACTGGAAAGATGTTGCTCTTTCAATTCCAGGAGGCAAAGGCTGGGGGTCCTTCAAAATACATTGTCAAGAATAACAACAGGACTATCTTTCTTAAACTTTCCTCTAAATCTAGATTATCCTCATCTTGATCCATTAGTTCACAGTTTAACGCACAGTTTAACGTTTTGTGTATTTATTCTGCCTTTACTATACAGAAAACTGTACCGAGAGCAAAGTCTATATCCAGATTATTTCTACATTCCAAACAAAGAAATTTCAAGAATGCCATTTGAATGAAACCAGAGTGAAAGGGTGAATAAATAAATGCTCAAAGAATGCGCATGTAAATAAATGAAAAGCACTATTGACTGCAGAGTCTGATGATGCTGCACAGTGTCTACAGGATCTTGAGAAGTACGCAAGCAAGTACCACACACTTAGAAACAGCGCTTTCAGCTAAGTTTCAGAATAAGTCTGAAAAGCAAGACTTACAAAGTACCTCTACAGGCATTTAAAAGAGCCCGAAGCTGCAAGGAACATTCTGGGTAACAACCAGAGTAAAGAAGAAAAACAAAAATACTTGTGGGTTAGGTCAAAGAGTAGCATTTTGATTCACAGATAAGACTGATTAAAGAAGGAAATGGAAGACCATATTTTAGTAGGAGGGCAACCTGAATCTGCAATAGCTCATCTGGCAATGAATGCATCTTATAAAACCAGAACTGTTGGAGACTTAGGGGGAACTAGGCCCAGCATTCAGGGATGTCCAATAAAAGTAACAGGGGGTGTCAAGTGATAGAAAAGCAATGGGTTTAGCTTTGGAAACTAAGCCTGGCCTGATTGATGATAGAACCATGACTTGTGAGGACTGGCAAAGGGCTAGGGTAGTCTTCCTGGCTGAATTATGTAAATGAAACAAGCTTGACCTTGCAGTCCTCTTCTTAATTCTGATTTCATAGGTTTATTCAGCTCCAATCTGTTATTAATTTAGTTTTTTGACTTGGCATCTCTACTGAAAAGAGACTAAAGCTGACAGGCCAACACACATCTCAGTTCATCTGGCAGTTCTTTTCTTTACTATAAATTATTAAATTGGCATCGTGATACAAATCTGTCCCTTGTGAATTTTAACAGTGTGAGCCAGTTTTCTAGGGTACTATCCTTCTCTGAAAAATATAATTCCAGACCTGTTGAACTTAGAAACTAAAGCCCAGGCTAGAAGGAGAATGAAAGCCTTTCCTAACAAGTGACCAGTGTCCCCACGTGCCACATCCATTTCACAGACAACTTCTAAATGTTGCTAGAAGAAAGTCTGACTACTAACCTCACCTCTCTCTTGTATTCAGTAGCTTCAGCTATCATTGGCTCCAACACTGGTAGGAACAGTTTAGAAGTTAGTGACCCAATTCAGGCAAAACCAATTTAATTCCAGTAAATCCCTAGGCCATCTAGAAGGAACAAAACTGTGGACAAACAAGAAGATCTTAATAACTTAGCAATCATTTCTAAGATTCATATGGAAGTTTGCTAGTTTCTTAGTGCAGTTGGTGGTCTGGGTGTCAATATCCCAACTATACTAGTGTAAATTTAGTGTAGTTGTCTCAACTTACCCATCAATCTGGATGCTTCCTTTTTTCTGACTTACTGTTTCATATATTTCCTAGGCAAGGGAAAGTTTATAATTAATGCTTCGAATGTTTTAGGCTCTATAAAATTAGCATTAGATGATTAGTCATAGCTATGTTTGAGGATATTATTCATTTTCAACTATTTTATTTTCTAGGAGAATTTACCTGAAATTAGGATTAGGAAGAGCTTGATTTTTGTTAAGCAACCAGCATTATTTGATTATTGTGGATATTTGTAGTCCTCTTTTTCATAGTCTACTGAAAAACATGGTGTCAGTTTTAAATGTATTGGTAGCAAATGGAAGAAATCTTTTATAGTGTGTCCTTTAGATTAATGATCTTTGTGACTCCATTTTATGTATTTCTCTAACTTTCTATGTTTTACATTCATTTGTAATTTGTAGTAATACACTAAAGTATGTATCCTCTTAACATAACAGAAATATTTTCTCAAATAATAAGTAAAAAATACAATAGAAGGTGAATTACCTTCCAATGTTTTTGTATTAGAACCAGTCAGCCAATACTGTTTTGGATAAACCATTTAAGCCCTCTGATTTCTATCTATACATCCATAGAATATTATGTGAACTATTTTATAATTAATTACCCAACAAATACTTAATGAAGTATAAAAATGATGAGGTTTTGCAATGCTGAGGGAACACTATGGGATTCAGAAGCATAAAATAGAACTTCTGTTATCCAAGAGTCAGGTTATGACAGATTAATCATTCATTAAAATAACTAGAAAGCATAGCATAGTATATCATTTTCTATTAAATTGTATGAAAGGTAAGATTAATTGGCCACAGTATGAATCTGCTTGGGAAAGTATGTAAGCCCTGGATGCTGAGTAGACCAATTTTACACTAAGTTGTGTTTTCCAAATAGTAGAACATATGCTTCTGGAAGATTGTCAGGCTTTTGTGTTTTCAGTGGTACAGGGAACATTTTTTAAAGTCTGAAGAGTTATTAATTTGAAGAATTTGAATGCAAAATTTCAATGACTGAATAAGAAATATTTCTTTCTTTCTTTATTACTTTAATTTTAAATAGCTTGCTTCACATGTCAATCCCAGTTGCCTCTCCCTCCCCTTCTCCCGCACCCCACCATCCCCACTAGCCTCCCACCCTATCACCAATTCCTTCCACATAGGGGATATCCAGGGTGTGTCATTTCACTCAGAGCAGGGTCCAGGCACTCCCCTAAGAGTCGAGGCTAAGAGAGCATCCCTCTTTGTGTTATGGACACATGAAGTCCGTTTGTATGTCAGGGATAAACACTGATCTACTGCCCAGGGCCCCATAGGTTTCCCGGGCCTCCTCACTGACTCTCACACTCAGAGGGTCTGGATCAGTTTCATGCTGGCCTCCCAGCTGTCGGTCTGGGGTCCAAGAGCTCCCCCTTGTTTAGATCAGCTGTCTCTGCTGGTTTTGCCAGCCCATTCTTTGCCAATTTGCTCATTGCTCCTCTCTCTCTGTCACTGGGTTCCATGGGTTCAGTTCAGTGTTTAATTGTGGGTGTTTGCCTCTGCTTTCATCAGTCATTGGATGAAGGTTCTAGGATGGCATATAGGGTAGACATCAAGTTCATTATCAGGAATGGGCATTCAAGGTGGTCTCTCCACTATTACTTAGCTTGCCAGTTGGTGTTAACCCTTTAGATCACTAGAGGTCTCACTGGTGCTTGATCTGTCTTCTAACCTATGACTCCCTCTTTTATGGTATTTCACATCCTGTTCTCCCCCTATTCTACCCCCCACTCAACCTTCCTGTTCCCTCATGACCTACTGTCTCTTTGTCTTCTCCCCCTCTCTTCTTCCCAGCTCCCACTTCCCCCCACCCCTCGCCGGGTTCCCAATCTGTTCAGAAGATCTTGCCTCATTCCTCTTCTCTGGGGTACCATGCATATCTCTCTTAGGTTCTTTCCTGTTTCCCAGACTCTCTACCAGTGGAAGTACAGACTGGCACTATCCAAGACAAGGCTGTACACTCCCTACATATCTCTTCAATATTATACTTGAAGTTCTAGCTAGAGCAATAAGACAACAAAAGGAGATCAAGGGGATAAAATTGGAAAAGAAGAAGTCAAGTTTTCACTATTTGCAGATGATATGATAGTTTACATAAGTGACCCTAAAAACTCCACAAGAGAACTCCTAGAGCTGATAAACACCTTCAGCAAAGTGGCAGCATACAAGGTTAACTCAAAAAAAATCATTGGCCCTATTATATACAGATGATAAAGTGGCTGAGAAAGAAATCAGAGAAACTTCACCCTTTACAGCATCAAATATCTGGGGATAATGTTACCAAAGAAGTGAAAGACATGTATATCAAGAACTTTGAGTCTCTAAAGAAAGAAATCAGAGGATATCAGAAAATGGAAAGATCTCACATGCTCTTGGATTGGTAGGATCAACATAATAAAAATGGCAATCTTGCCAAAAGCAGTCTACCTATTCAGTGCAATCCCTATCAATATTCCAGAACAATTCTTCACAGACAATGAAAGAATAATAATCAATTTTATATGGAAAAAACAAAAGACCCATGATAGCCAAAACATCCCTATACAATAAAGAAACTTCAGGAGGCATCACCATACCTGACTTCAAGGTCTATTATAGAGCTATAGTCCTGAAAACAGCTTGGTATTGGCACAAAAGTAGACAGGTAGGCCAATAGAACTGAATAGAAAACCCTGATTTTAACCCACACACCTATGAACACTTGATTTTTGACAAAGAAGCTAAAATTATACAATGTAAAAAGAAAGCATCTTCAACAAATGGTGCTGACATAACTGGGTATTGGCATGCAGAAGACTACAGATAGATCCATATCTATCACCTTGCACAAAACTTAAGTCCAAATGGATCAAAGACCTCAACATAAATCCAACTACACTGAAACTCTTAGGAGAGAAAGTGGTAGATACTCTTCAATGAGTTGGTACAGGTACAGACTGCTTCCTGAACATAACACCAGTAGCACAGACACTGTGATCGACAATTAACAAATGAGACCTCCTGAAACTAAGAAGCTTCTGTAAGGCAAAGGACACAGTCAACAAGACAAAAAGGCAGTCCACAGA